ACCAGGTGTGCCATCCTGTATGTTCCTACTAGCAGAACATGGACTGCACACTTTGCATGAAAGATACATGTAGATGCCTAGAAGTGGCTAACTTTGGTTTGTTTACATCTAGCACAAATCAGGCTGGTTATGGAGAAGGGATCAGAAAACAAAGGGCTTCATAGAGAGTAGGGGTTGGAAACATTGCTGCACCAAACTCAGTGAGATTAAGAAGAAGACATGGTAGTGAGTTAGTCATGCCCAAATTGAGTCTGATATGGTTAAATAAATATGTATACATGACATATCAGTATGCGTCAGAATTTGGTTAATCCACAACTTATGGATGTGCATATCGATATGTCAAGTTTCAATCAAATCTGGACATCCAAATTCCAACATATCTAAAAGTGTCAAACAAACATATATTAATCTAAGAAAAGTTCTATTTGATTATTTTCATTTAGTTTTTTTTCACATGCTTCTTTTGTTTTTCGCATTTGCTCTAAAATTTTCCCACCCAATAAAAATGATTGATATATATGAACTATTTTCTTAAATATTTGTCTCATGATATCTCACATTCATAAAGATCCATAATTTCCTAGAATCTAACATGAAATTGCATACACAGCATATCACGTTTACACCCATATTTATTTAGAACAAATATGGTTACAAAATTTGTATTTGGTTAATATACATATGTGAATCTGTACCTGCCAATTAAAAATTGGAAACGGTCATTTTCATCCTAAGAAGACACCATGTGAATTGTATAGATGCGTATAACTCTTTTTATGTTTTATACCCTGCTAGCAGCTTATAAATATATGCTGAAATTTTGAATTACACCAGATTACCATACTATAGTCCACCATCTGGCCAAAACTCAATATGGATTGAGATTGTCAACCTTTAATCGAAGGTTTACTTCAGACCATCAGATCAATATGCAAACACTATAGCAATAAGAGGGACGTGTATAAATGAAAGGTACAGCAATGTCGCATTACCTTTATAGAATGCCCTTTAATATCACATGGCTGCTTCACCACTGAAGATTTTGACACACCCTCGACAAAAGTTGTACTCGTAGTGTACGCTGAATTAGAAGACACAGAGGTGCCAGGCGGCAAGCTGCTGCTTTGGACTCTTGTATGACTTAAGCAGGCATCAGCCATAGGCACATCCAAGTCTGAAGAATTCTGCATTCCGTTTTCCTTTGCTAATACCTTTTCAGCATTATGTTCCAACGAAGCAACTATGTTCTGAACAATCCAATCATGGACTTGGCCAGCAGAAACAGGAACAGCAGGCATGTCTGGATCTGAATTAGCAAAAAAAGGAGCTGCTTGGGTCAATGGAATTCCTTCGGAGAAATGGAGGAGGAAACCAAGGTGTTCAAATCTTTCCATTGTCAAAACCTGTAAACCAGACATTAAACCAAAAACAATTACCAAAAAGATGTCACATTGACACGAAACTAATTGTACTAATATGTGACATCTTGAAAGAACTCAATGATCTGTGAAGGAAGACTTGTGCAAAAGTCAACTATTTGTAGAATAACAAATATTTAGTCATCTAAAAACGAAACAGACGGTAAGAGACATGTACATGCATGGGCAAAAATTCATTCACAGAAAACCCCAAAAGATGACTGCAAAGGGTTTCACCAACAGCTGGTGAAGCAATCCTTTGAGCCTACATGTCAAACGACCTAGTATACATACATATGCACAAAGTTCTTAAGCTCTTCCACATTTGAAGTGTGCCAAATCATGATTTAGATAAGCACATAGCTCAAGATAAACTTGTCACTGAATTAGGTTTCTGCAAGACAGGTAACTAGGCATGTTATCTTCAACAATCTGATAGAATTTCAAGCTCCTTTGTATCTAACATTCCTCATTATATAGCTTTGGCAAAGAAATATCCCCCGATTGATGCAGATTTTAAATAGGTGAAGATATTTTACCAAGATTCTCAACTACCGTAAACAAATTATGAAAATGCAATTTTAGGATACTCCAATGGTACAAGAAGATATGGAAAGTAAATTGGCATGATCTGAAGACTGTAAAATTCATAATTACATGTAAATATAGGCCACAGAAGAGGTAAAAAAAGGAAAAAAAAATGAGTAGAAAGCATTAGTGTGTCCTAATATGACAAACCAGAGACTCATCGCCCTCCCCTTCAACAGACTCTGCCAAAAGGGTAACAATATTGGCCATATGCTTCTGTAAGTATGATAACTGATGAGCTTCTTCATCTGCTTGTGAAGGCATAAAACGACGACTGTTACTGCGTACAAGCTGCCACACAATTTACCAAGTTAGGATACAGAAGACTTTTTTTTTCCATTCATCAAAATAGTACATGTGATTGGTACTATGGTGAGAAGACTTATCATGACCTGACAAAATATACCAAAGCACAGCATGACTACAAATTAAAGCAATCGGACACAAGTTTCTTGAATCACATTTATGTGATCCAAATTTCATAAATAGAAAACGAATTCTTCACTTAATCAATTCAAAGAAAATTGTTTCAATGCTGATTTCAGTGAGCATATCCAGCTTTCTACTTGAACAACAAATGAAATCAAGACTCAAGAAACTTGTACCATCAATGTAGAGTTGAAAAAAAGTGATCAAAATAAGAAATAATGAGCTACAACCACAAACAGAACTTCCACCATCAATGGTTTCAATCTCTATGATTTTCGAGGTCTCAGAATATAAGATGTTTGTATATTAGAAATGTCCACAAATCAGCATATGATAACATCTCCAGAGGTGACCGAATGAAGAAAGAACATTATTGTGGAAGAATTAACTTGAAAAATATCTAGATACCTTCATCAATTGGATGGTAACAATGAAGTACCTATTTATAATATGAATTAGTACCACTTCCCCTTTTTCTATTTCTTCCTTCTCTTGAAGGAGGAGAAGATTCTAGCTTGATAAATTCTATGAAAGTTTTAGAAGTTACTTTTTTTTCTTTTGTCTAAAAAATGCAATCATTTCAGTTTGAACTAAGATTACCTTTTGTTTTCTAATCCTTGGTCCAAATTTTTAGGTCAGAAATTCATTCGTATAATTGAAGCACAATTCGGCCCTATTCAACTTATCAGCTAATCCAATCCAGACACAATTTGTTTGACACATATATCATATCTTATTCTCATCGAATGAATTCGATTATAGTTAATATTTGTATTATAAAGAAATGGTTCATTGACTAGTGCCCTCCTATGACAAGTTTCTGGGTCCATTTTTGATCTACCACTCCTGCTTCACATAATGAACTGTACTGTCTTATCTTTGTCTATATCATCTTCAAAGTCTCATGATACATGATTGAACACACCTGTCCAAGAGTGCAACATTTAGACCCACAACAGCTCTTCAACTAGTTCAGATATTATCATTTAGCTAGAACGATCTGATGGCACATGCTTGTAGAGCAATTGGAAAGTAACTCAAATGTTACTTAAATCATCTATAACTAATTATATATTTATTAATATAAATATATATATCACAAACAATTGCTAGATAGTTATTATCGAGATTTCTCAGATTCTTCTATTCTACATTACACAAGCAAGTCCTAAATGTTTGCCAGGAGGTTTCAATCATTAAATCGAACTCTGTCTCGTTGGCAACAATTTATTTACAACCACAACACTGTCATGCACCTCGATATCAATCTAAATTATTGAAGTTAGATCTTATCAAGCCTTATTCGTGGCATCTAATGGCGAAAATTTTCATTAGAAAGCAAAATTCGTAACCAAATGCTGAATGACTGAACGAACTCGTACAAATTAGAACAGTTCCCCAACCTGAATTGGTGACAGGGCAGAGAGGTAGCCATCGAAGGCTGATGTCGAGGGCCAGACATCAGCAATAGCAGCCGAGTCCTTGTGCGGACGGGGGACCAACCGCTTGTAAGACTGGATGCAGAGGAAGAGAACAAGAACGTGCACGTCGGCAGTCCCGTCAGGATCAGGTTCGGAAGGTAGGACGGAGGCAAGGGTGTCGAGGGCAAGGCGAGCGTAGTCGAGCGAGATCTGTAGCGCATCAGCGAGGCTGGTGGCATCGACGCGGTGTGGAGAGGGGATGGATCTGCGGAGAAGCTTGTCGGCAAGAGCCGCTAGGGTTAGGGTGCCGTCTGAGAAAATGAGCTTGGGGATAGGAAGGAGGCCGTGCTCGAAGGGCTCGCGTCGAGGGCGGAGGAGCAACTGAAGGGAGCCTCCGGCGGCAGTGGGGGTGGGCGTGCCGGAGGAGGGAGGAGACGAGGCGGCGGCGATCGAGGGCTCCACCTGGTCTTCGACCATCGTTTCTTCTTTTCTTTTAGAGAAATTTAGAGAGAGAGAGAGAGAGAACCATATAATTCTACTACATAGGTCACGGGATGGTGCGAGGGAAGCCGACAACGTGTCCGCTCGAGTAGGATAGGGAGGGACACGTAGCGGAGGTAGAATTCGGGTCCGGATTCTAACACGCTGTCTCAGGCCGACACACAATCAGGAAAAAAGCGCTTCCCACTGGCTAACATCATGGGTCCCACATAAAACAAGCCGCACGAGAATCATGAGCCGCTTTAACTATCATTAACACCCATCATCATAATAATAATAATGATATACATGAAGTAATTCTTAAACAACTTCTAAGAGCATATGAGGAGCTTCTAATATTTTTTTATTTCATATAATTCCTTATGCTTTTTGACTTCCTGTGGATCAAAAGATATCTTAAAGGTTTTGAGATAGGTTAAACATGTTAAAAAAGTATTTGTTGAATAACCTAAATTTTATTCCAATTAAATTAAATTATTTTTACTAATGCACAAAATCTAGAGCTTTTATGGTCTATTTGTTACTAGAAAAGAAGCAAAGCATCAAACCACACACAAAGTTTAAATGACATATTTGAGAATCAACAAGTAGGATGTGATATAACAATTTAAATGACATATTTGAGAATCAACAAGTAGGCTTGAATCCAAAGTTTCATGTTACTTAAAAAATCCTTCAAAATATATATCTAGTTATCAGCATATTACAATAATCATCTTTTAAGAACAGTAAGATGTGTGTATCATATTCTAATATGGTCAAAGAAAACAAGAGAGAAGAACGAAGAAAATCTATCCGGATACATTTGACAAGCAAAAAACTAATGGACAATGGAAACTACACCATCTATGTAGACCCACAACACGTAGATTTAGTCCCACTCGAAGGCTCCTGACCAGGGACTACTATCTCGGTTCCTTTGAGCAGGCTTGAGTTTCCAGTAGAGTCAGACCCATCATTAGCAACAAGGGATTTCTTGCTCGTGATCCGATAGATATCAGTGAGCACGGTTAGAAAAGCACTCTCAACATTAGTGGCCTCAAGAGCGGAAGTCTCCATGAAAAAAAGATTCTCGCGCTGGGCGAACTCCTTGGCATCGTCGATTGGCACAGCACGAAGAGTTCCGAGATCAGACTTATTTCCAATGAGCATTATCACAATGTTTCTATCAGTATGCCCCCGTAGTTCCTCCAGCCATCTCGTCATATGGTCAAACGACTGTCGTTTCGTGATATCATAGACCAACATTGCCCCCACTGCGCCTCTATAGTAAGCACTTGTTACTGCTCGGTACCTATCAGTAATCACCATAGGAACTTCAATGTATCAGAATTCAGAGCCATGGAGAACAAAATCAGAAGAAGAAATACAGCTATTTAAGATTTTGAAGTATTGATCATTAAGATGTGGACATTACTACTGTCCAATACTAAAGCATATTCGTTCGGCCATAGTTCTCTATTCCAGAACTGAGATATTGCTAATATGTATTCACTGAAATACTCACCAGACTAGATCCAGAAAAATGGGCCTAGATTAACTTAGGGCAAAATAGCAAGTTCTATGGTCTGTCATTTTTGTTCACTAGATTAGATAGCCATAGCATCCAACTCTATGTCGGCCAATCATGAAGCTGCACTATTATGACCTCAGTACGAAGAGTTGAACCACAAAAATAGCCTCTACATCTAAGAATGAGGCTATCAATGCTCCCAGTGGGGAGCCTTGGACACTAGGCCGACCTGTGTCATAGCAGACAGATGTAAACATGAAAGAATCCAGGAAGTAAAAGTAAATGGCAGCAACAAGTGGCATATTCCTTAAATGTCTTATGTATCATGGCAAGTGACTCAGGTAGTCCAAGGTGGTACCACAACCCAAAAAACAACCAATTAAACCAATCCCTCATATACCACAAACCAAGATAAGCAGCATATCCTGTTCCTATACTTGCACCATGATCTAGCATATTATACTTCCTAACTATCATTAAGAATTTGCCCCAGTTGTTCTCTCATTAATTAACACAAAATAATGTGAAACAACACAAGCCAAGTAAGCTGAACTTGAATGTACATAGTAAGTTCATCTATTGTTACTGCACAAAGACAAGGTTATACTAAAAGGGAACTCAATGTTCTCTGATGCAAATTAGCTATTCATCCTACACTATTAATCATGTATGTGTAATTTAAAAAAAAATCTCCATAACAACTCACTGTATAATTTTTAATTGTTCCTGGTGTTTTGTTTTTGTTTTTGTTTTTTCATTGATTCACTTCACAAGTAAACAGATTTTTTTAAATTGA